GGGGGGGGAGAGGGGGGGCAGCACCCCATGGGTTTTGGGGTGCCCGAAAACTGGCTGTAGCAGAGCTCTTGCAAGGCAGCAGGGCAAGAAAAAGCTGTTTTCTCATCTCTTAAGTTTCCACTGCGAACGAATACGCCTGCAAAGGGCTGGATAAACTGGAGAAGCTGCCCATCCTGCAGCAGCCCCCAGAGCAGAGAGGGTAACGTCTCCCCTGGGGGACACGGGGGCAGGTCCAGCGCTGGGTGAGGTGGTGGGACAAGGTGTCCCTCTGCTGTCCCCTCCCAGGTGGTGGCGGGGACCAGGGAGCTGGTGTCGTCCACCGTGAGCGGCGCGGTGGGCCTGGCCCGCGGCGTGGTGCAGGGCGGCGTGGAGAGGACGTGCTCGGCGTTGAACACCGGCGTCAGCACCGTGGTGGGCTCCCGCATGGGCCGGCTGCTGGCCACGGGGGTGGACGCGGTGCTGGGGAAGTCGGAGGAGCTGGTGGAGCGATACCTGCCCGGGACAGACGAGGAGCTAGGTGAGTGCCGACAGCGCCACGCCAGACACCATCTCCCAAATTTGGGGGTGCCAAGCCCACCTGGGATCCCCACCCCATCACTCACCACTGCTCCGGCATCGCTTGCTCCCGGTGCCCCTGCTTAGCCCCCCAGCGTTGGTGCCTGGGCAGCGGTGCCAGGGCACCGCCGAGCCCCACACGGTGCCCATGGCCACCACGACGCTGCGCAGGGGACGGTCCCCACCCGGCGGGAACCCAAAGCCAGGGAACACGGCGCGGCGGCGGGTGAACTCTCACCTGGAAACCAGAAAGCAAATATAGCCCTGTGCCACCCACCCCGGGTATTTATAGCTCGGCACAGGGTAGCGGTGGGCAGAGCTGGCCCCATGTCACAGCAGAGGTGACCGGAGAGGACACCTGGCTTTTTGGTGACACCTCCACGTGACCTGGTGGCCAAAGCATCCCATGGGTGGGCACCCCTGTGTCCCCACAACGGGGTGCAGAGCTCGGGGGGCTCATCCCAGCACCGGTGGCGGGATGTTCCGGTGCCCGGCCTGGGATGGTCCAGCCACACGGTTCTCTCCCCCTGGCTCCGCAGCGGCGGCAGCGGGCGTCGCGGTGGCCTCACCAGAGCGGCAGAGACGGCGGCAGAGCTACTTCGTCCGCGTGGGCTCGCTCTCGGCCAAGCTGCGGCACCGAGCCCTGCGGCGCTCACTGGGTGAGCTGCAGCGGGCACGGCACAGCGCCCAGCGGGTCCTGGCCCAGCTCCACCGCATCTTTGAGCTGGTAAGGATGCGGT